CTATGGCCCTTTTAGGACCTTGTGGACTTCAACTCCCAGAATTCCTGGGAGTTGAGGTTCACAGGTCCTAAAAGGGCCATAGTTGCCCACCCCTAATTCACACAGACTTTTGCTGTTACTAAAACGTGCCTGTTTCAAAAAGCATGGAACAGAGCACTTGTTTGTGGGAAAAGGGGTTGCTTTTTAACCAAGTATTTGATTTTTCTGTCTCTGCATTTGACCTATTTTTTTTACATTTCGTTTCATTTTGATGTCTCTGGAATGCGCTCCACATTATTTTCTCACAGAGTCTTGTCTGGCCCCGGGCTCTGGTTTCCCAGCCCAATTCCATCTGAGGATACCACCACACTCTCGGCTTACTCTCCGAGGAGGCGATTCCATCAGCCCCAGCAAGGGCCTTCAAACTGGGCAAGTTTAAGACTTGTGGACTTCAACTCCCAGAACTCCCGAGCTAACACGACTGGAGGAGGAATTCTGGGAGTTCTGGAAGTCCACGAGTCTTGAAGTGGCCAAGTTTGGGGAACCTCTGGCCTAGACCAATTTAATGAGCGCTCCCCTTCCATCCCTGGTTCCAGGTGTCAGCTTGGCCGAGGCTCTGCTCTAGAGGAAGAAGTGAAATAATAATCATAAAGTAGAAGCGCCTATTAAACCCCTGAGTTTCTTTTCCTCCTTCTGCTCGGTGGAAACACACCTGTCAAGAACTTTTCCCCCCTCAAACCAGAAACTTGTTCTCACAAGGCCTCCTCTTCCTCTATGCGATGCAGTTAATTTCCTCTCAGAGGGGCCCCGGGAGGAAAACGAGAACTGAAAGCCCTGCCAAAGAAATCCTTAAGGAGTATTAACGGCTGCTAGGATTGATGGTCCAAAGAGAGAGCCTCACTCCAAATGAAGCTTGGGGTTGTTTTTGGCATCATCTCTCTGGCGCCGTGGCCTTTCGGAGCCTTCTAGTCGTCGAAATCCGGGATATCGTCATAGGAGTAGCCCCGGTAGCCTTTGGAAGCGAAGTAGGCGATTCTCAAGTGATAGAAGCCCGGAAGGAAAACCAGGATTCCGATGATCAAGACAGGAACTGCGCGATCGGTTCCCTGGAGGAGGGAAGAGATGAAAAGAACGTATGAAAAAACATACGATGGACGGTTGCAGGAACTGGGCCTGGCTAGTCTAGTGCAGAGAAGGACCGGGAGGGGGGACAGGAGAGCATCTTCCAATAGTTGAGGGGCTGCCCCAAAGAAGAGGGAGGGGGTCAAGCTATTCCCCCAAACATCTGAAGGCCAGACAAGGAATAACGGATGGAAACTGACCAAGGAGAGATTCAACCTGGAAATAAGGAGGAATTTTCTGGCAGTGAGAACCATCCACCCATGGAACAGAAGTTGCCCTCGGAAGTTGTGGGAACGTCATCACTTGAGACTTTCAAGAAGAGATTAGACTGCCATCAGTCAGACATGTTGTAAGGTCTCCTGCTTGGGCGGGAGGTTGGACTAGATGACCTACAAGGTCCCTTCCAACTCATCCAATTCTATTCCTCCTCCAGGTATGATGGACTTCATCTGACACCTGGTGGGAATTATGGGACCCAGAGAAGAAAATTACGGGACTCCAAATACCTTGAAAGCAGCGGACTCCAAGGCAGGAATCAATCGTCCAAACGCCATCAAGGGACCTCCAAATTTCCAAGCCACCACAGCCCTCTTGCATACTGGAGCCCCAAATGACCCCTCTGATCAGGGGTGGGATTCAAAATTCTTTACTACCGGTTCTGTGGGCGTGGCTTGGTGGGCGTGGCAGGGGAAGGATATACTGCAAAATCCCCCTTCCCTCCCCACCCCACTAGCCTGCTTTCCAGCTCCGTCCTCCTGTGCAGGGCAACCAAAGAAGACCCAGCCGATCAGCTGGGACTCAATGGGAGGCGGAGAATTTATGGGGTTGGCAGGGCCAGTCAGAGGTGGGATTGGCCGGTTCTCCAAATGTCTCAAAATTTCCGCTACCGGTTCTGCAGAACCGGTCAGAACTGGCTGAACACCCACCTCTGCCTCTGGGGCCGTTTCCCCAGGTGGTCTCTCTGGCCCTGTTCTTGGACCATACAGCCCACCTGCACAGACCGGCCCACCAGAGTCTCCCAGGGCGGAATCGCCGCTCACGACTTACCCCTTGGCTAATGTACCCGGCAAGGAGCAGTGCGCCGATGATGATGAGGAGGGTCCCAATCAGGAACAGCACCGTGGCCAGCGCAATCGCCTTGTAGGGGACTTTCGGGGGGCTCTTCTTGAACTAGGGAGAAAAACAGGTTGAGCGCAGAACGGCCTTCCGGGCCCAGAGTCCCACATCCTAAAGTTCTCAGCCACGCTTTGCGCTGGCTGGGGAATTCTGGGAACTGTAGTTCATACACCTGGAAGAGTGTATGGGCACATTGGGCAGCACAAAATTCTTTTTAAGAGCCGTTTCCCAGCTAAATATATAAGTAACTAGCTGGATACTCGTGTGCTTCGCTACGAAACTATGTGGTGCGCTTAGTTTTTGGGGAGGAAAATAAGGGGGGGGGGATTCTGCCTCTGCCTACCAGCATCCATCGGTATTCATCTGGCTAGAGTCCTGTCAGTGTGTGAGAATTGAGGGCTGTTTGGAAACTGAAACAGTATTTGCTGTGTGAGCAAGAAAGAGACAGCAAGGAGCCTGGGTGTGGCTTAGCTCAACTGTTCTGTACTAAAGCTGCTTGGTGCTGCTCTGAAACTTAAACTCCTCTCCTCTGCTGGTGTTTTGCATTTGGAACAGGTTTCTTTTCAGGTGGGGAGGGGGAGTCAAACTCCTTAGCATCAGAGCATGTTAATAATAATAATAATAATAATAATAATAATAATAATAATAATAATAATAATAATAATAATAATAATGGAAATACTCTAAATGCTCTGATGGTCATTTCGAAAAATCCTTTCTTAGTGAGCCCTTAGAAGCCAAGAGGAACATCCGTGCTGTAGGAAAAGAAAATAGGCTATTGATCTATCAGATTCAATAAGGCCTTTGGATGATAGCAGACCCCAGAATAAAAGAGACACGAACCAAAGTTTTAGATAGAATGATTTCAAAGTGTATCAGAACTATTTGTGATCCTGCTGAGCTGTTGCTGTGGAATGTGATTTTGCAAAGTACTAGTTCTGAAAACCGTGAGAAATAGGCAACAGAAAGTAGCCAATGGATAGAGGTTTGAGATGTACACAGGTATACGTGGAGACTGTCTGTCAGTAAGAAAGAACGGAGAAGTAAGTTGTGAAATGCGTGCAGAAAAGCATAAAAAGAATATCTTGGGATGTGTTCAGGGCCACTGGCCATGGCTACTCCTTGCTGGACTCAGCCATGTCGGTGGAGCTCATTGCAATGAGTTATTTGATATAAGTTGTGTTACGATGGCTATTCACATGTTCTAAATTGCTCATGAAATAAGCCTCTGATTTTAAAATAGGATTTATTGCTTGTGGTTTGTCTGTGTCCCTCTTTTACTGAATTATTTTTACGACAGTGCCCAATTTCAAGTTTGTAGGCTTTACGGTTCTGGAGATTTTGTGATGATGCGTGAGTGGCATTTCGCTTTGAGATAGATAGATAGACAGACAGACAGACAGACAGACAGACAGACAGACAGACAGATAGATTAAATGGTCCTGAGTCTTCTTCCTTGGAAGTGGGACCGAAGATAACTTTTTAAAGAAGATTTTCAGCCCTTGCCCTGACCGCATTCCTTCCCAGTGTTTGCGATGCTCAGAATTCCCCACCAATTGGAAGGAACGGTGCGAGGCAATTGAGTGACATTTATGCCAAAAAAAAAAAAACAAAAACCATTTAAAGTAGAGAACCAAATGTGAAAAATATCCGTCCTGGGAAGATGCTCTTCTCCTGAATGGAGCCTGTGGGAAAACACGCCGACTGGGATGTGAACAGATGTAAAACAAAGGGGTGAAGAACAGGTTAGGTGGTAAAACTGGGTGGACCAGCAGTTCCTGGAACTGTGTCAGCAAATCTGGAGCATCTCTAGGGATTTATGACAAGGTTTTATAAACATTCTTCATGCATTTAAATCTAATTGACGATGATGCTGGCTTGAAGTTCACCTGTGTCTTTCAGTTCAGGCTCAGACTCCGGAAAGAGAAAACAGAGAGGGTGGGGACATCAAATAAAAGCACTTTCATTACATTTTTCTTTTCTACCATATTTATTTGGGAGGGAGGAAGGCGTGCTAACAGGGGCGTTTTTAGTGCAGCTCCTGTTATTATTCTCTGAAAGATCTTCTCTACAATCCTGCCTTAAAGGGAAGAACGCCTATGGAGATTGTCAGTCATTCAGGCCCTGGTTGTCCCAAAGGTGCTTTTGTTTGTTTTCTCTTTGAAGATGTTTCACTTCTCCATCCAGGAAGTTTCTTCAGCTCTGATAGGATGGGGAGGAATGGAAGGATTGATGCTCCTTGCAGACAGCTGGTCATTTGCATCCTTTTAGATCAGAGGTCTCCCAACTCGGCAACTTTAAGACTGGTGGACTTCAACTCCCAGAATTCTGGGAGTCTTAAAGTTGCCGAGTTGGGAGACCCCTGTTTTAGATGCAACAGTTAACAGGACAAAGATAAACCTCCAAGTGGCCTCAAGGACCCTCCAAAAGGATGCAAAGAACCAGCTGCCTGCGAGGAGTTTCAATCCTTCCCTTCCCCACCATCCAGTCAGAGCTGAAGAAGCTTCTTGGATGAGAAGCAAAACGTCTTCAAAGGGAAAAAAAACAGAAAATCCAATTTTGCCTCCTGGGGAAAGAAAAAAAAAGCACCTTTGGGTTAAAAAAGAAGTGCCACGACAAGGCTGCCCCCTGGCGGGCATCTCTGCAAACAGATATCAGTGGTTTTCAATTCAATTGTATAGAATGGGAAGGATGTGTCTTTTTGTTTTCTTTTTATTTATTTTTAATAAAATGGCATTTAATTTCATTGTACGAGGTGCAATGACAATGAACTATAACTATAATTCTAAAAAAAAAGGTAAATAAATAAAAATAAATAAATTGAGTTACCCAACATAACAGTGGGATTAAAAAGATAAGGATAAAATAAAATGCGGTCCTTCCTTCCTTCTCTTCCTCCTTTCCTTTCCTTCCCTTTCCCTCCTTCCTTTTACCTGCAGGTCAATGTATCCTTCATCCGTGCAAGCGAGCTTCGAATACTTTACTTTGCTGTTGGGGATGGAAGCAGCCAAATTCGTTCTGGACGGCATCTTCTTCAGCGAAAGCGGCAAGTCCTCCCAGCTACAACCTGGATCAGAGCCGATAAAAGGAGCCCCTGTGTACTTTAAGGCATGCAAAGGAGGAAAAGGCACTCAAGGCCCTGGAAACTACAACGTGGAGACCCATTGAGACCCCAGAAAACAAACTTTTGTTCCTGGGTTGGGTGGGGAGAGCTAATAATCCTCAACCTACAATGACTTTACGGCGGCTGCACCACTAGGGGTTGTAAATTGGTGTCGTTGGAGGGAGGGAGGAAAATAGCAATAGCCCTCAGACCTCTATATCGCTTCACGGGGCTTTTTACAGCCCTCTCTAAGCGGTCCACAGAGTCAGCCTCTTGCCCCCCCCCCCCTCTCCCCCAATCTGCATCCTCGTTTTACCCACCTCGGAAGGACGGAAAGCTGAGTCAACCTTGAGCTACTAAGGATCGAACTCCTGGCAGTGGGCAGAGTTAGCCAGCAATACTGCACTGCCTTCTGGGAGGGAGGGAGGGAGGGAAGATAGCAAGAGTGCTGAGCCCTAGATGACCTCCAGGGACCTTCCAACTCTGTTGTTATTATTATTGTTTATTATTATTGTTTATTATTATTATTATTATTATTATTATTATTATTATTATTATTATTATTATTATTATTATTATTATTATTCACAAAAAATGACAGTGCACACAGCAAATGAGACGACTATGCTGGGTTTCTTTTGCTGTGTATTGTTATTGTTACTATTCATATTATGATGCACTGTTTGACAGTGCTTTCCAGCCCTCTCTAGGCCAGGTTTGCTGGCTGAGGAATTCTGGGAGTTGAAGTCTTCAAGGGGCCCAGGTTGGAGACCCCTAAGCGGCTCACAGAGCAGCCCCTTTCCAGAGGGGCGGACTCCAACTCCCAGCGTCCCCCAGGGCTCCGCGCGCGGAGAGCTCTGGGAGGTGGAGTCCGCGCCCCTTTCCAAGGGGAGGAGCCCCCGGGCGGGCAGTTGGGGGCTCGGGGGCCCCCCCCCCCCCCCCCCGCCCCCCCCCCCCCCCCCCCCCGCCTGGGCGCCGCTTCTCTCCCTCCGTCCCTCCCCGGCCTCGCCTGCCCGCCCGCCTACCTTCGGGGCCGAGCCATGGCAGCCTTTCCTGCGCCAGGAAGTCTTCGCCGGAGCCGCTTCCAGGTCGCCGAGCAGCTGCGCCGCCCACGGGCGGGTCCTGCGGGGGGGGGGGGGGCGGGGGCCGCCCCCCGCCCTCCCTCCCCCCTCCGCCTCCGCGGCGCCGCTCCCGGCCGGGCAAGAGCGCGCAGAGACGGGCACCCCGCCTCGGGTTGCCCCGCTTAAGCCCCGCGAGCAGGTTGGGCTGGTGCCAAGGCATCCAAGCTGGCTCCAGGTTGAAAAGAGTGGGAAGGGACTCTTGGAGGTCATCTAGTCCAACCCCCTGCCCTAGCAGGAGAAACCCCCCGTCCCCCTCCTCCTTTCTGCGGCAGCCCCTCAAATACTGGAAGGCTGCTCTCCTGTCTCCCCTGGTGCTTTTCTTCATTAAAGTCAGATGAACAGAGTTGGAAGGGACCTTGTAGGTCATCTAGTCCAACCCTCCGCCCAAACGGGAGACCCTACACCATTTCTGACAGATGGGAGTCCAATCCTTTCTTGGAAGCCTCCAGGGATGAAGCTCCCACAACTTCTGAAATCAACTTCTGTTCCATGGGTGGATTGTTCTCCCTGTCAGAAAGTTTCTCCTTATTTCCAGGTTGAATCTCTCCTGGTTCAGCTTCCATCCATTGTTCCTTGTCTGGCCTTCAGGTGCTTTGGAAGATAGCTTGATCCCCTTCCTCCTCCTCTCTGTGGCAGCCCCTCCTCAAATATTGGCAGACGGCTATCCTGTCTCCCCTGGTCCTTCTCTTCCCTAGACCAGCCAGGCCCGGTTCCTGCAAGCGTTCTTCATATCTTTCAGCCTCCAGTCCCCTTCATCATCCTGGTTGCTCTTCTCTGCATTCTTTGGATAGTCTCAACATCCTTTTTGTAGTGTGGTGACCCAAACTGGGACCCCCACCCCAGTAACTCCTCTAAGTGCAGAAGCTGCGCTGCTGGGATCCCCCTGGGAAGGAACACCCCCCCCCCGCCCATGCAGCAAAGCCGTGTGTGTGGCTCTCATGGGGGTTCGGCATGCCAAACCTCACGCAGTCACGCCCTTCACTACTCTGGCCAGGTCCTGGGGGTTTGCGCCCCGGGTTGTGGCCTTGCAGGGGGTTCCCTGGTCAGTTTGGAGAGCAGACTGACCAAACCATGAAGGACAGGTAGCTCTCAACCCGACTCGTTTAGTGACCAAAGTTACAAGGCACTGAAACGTGTGACTTTATTACAAACCGCTTTCCTGTAACCGTTGCAGCCTCCCCAGGACCAAAATCCAGGCGCTTCACAACCGGTTCATGTTTATGACGGTCGCTGTGTCCCAGGGCAGTCGTGCAACCCCCCTTTGAGACACCCCCACACACACACAAGCAGTGTCGATTGGGGAAGCCAGGTTCCCTTAACGACTGTGGTGCTGTGCACTGCAGTGATTCCCTGGACAGACAAGGTAGGTCGCAAAACGGGTTTAAATCTCTTAGCTGTCTCACTTAACAGGAATGTGGGGCTCCATGGGGATGGAGAGCCTTAAAGGGCCCCAGAATGTCTTCCCCACTGCAAGGCCGGGGGATGGCTCGGCCTTATGGATAGAAGCGCAGAGGAGGGTCCTTTGCAGGAGGCAGCTCTACATTGGAGCTTCCGCTTCTTCCAGGGAAGTTAATTCCCATGGAGGAACTCTGGGAGTTGAAGTCCACCAGTCTTAAAGGGGCCAAGGTTGGAGACCCCTGACTTAGATGACCCTTCTGGTCTCTTCCAACTCATTCATGGCTGGCTGAGGAACTCTGGGAGTTGAAGTCCACCAGTCTTAAAGGAAGCACATTTGGGGAGCTGTCCTTGACTATGTCTTGGCTTTCCCATTTTAGTTGTATACTCAAATCTTTCTGTCCTCCCAGGACTCCCTCAAGTCTTCAGGGGTGTGTGGTCAGGGTGGGGTTGTTTTTTCTTCTTCCTCCCATCCTTTTTTTTCCAGGGTGAATCCTATCCCACTTCAACTGAACATTTTGGCTAGAAAACACTTCTTGCATTCTACTTATACAATAAGGGACAATATTCGGCCAGTCCAGCCTGGGGGAGAACCGAGGCCCCTCGCCTGCCTCGCCACAAAGGGAGCTCTCAGGAAGACTTTGTATCCATAGGCAGCTCAGGAGAGACGCTTCCTGCCAGCTTGAAGCCCAGGGGCAGCCTTTTCGTGGCCCCACCTCAGCCCCCCCCCAAATAATTGGGCTTCTGCAGCACCCTCCCCTGAAAATGGCTCCCATTCCAATTCATATTTCTATTGGGATGACTGCAACCTTCCTATCTGAGCCAGAAGGGCTTGTGTGTCTAAGCATACATACCCAATTTTCTGCCACTGAAGGGGAAGGGAGATACATTTTGGATGTTGAGCGATGGGAAATTCTAGTGTGCTTATTTGGGGTATAAAATCCATGAAAATATCCTGCTTGCCATCAATTACTTTGCTAAATAATTTCATCCCAGGGAAAAAAGAAAACGTTTTTCTGGTTCCGTATTGACACACAGTATATTCTTTAATCCAGATCTCACTGTCCAAATTTGCTTCCAAAGTGTAAAAATGCCTCTCAGCCCCATAATGCCAGCTCAACTGGCCAGCGTGCTTTTAAATCACCCTTTCACCCTAAAAAAGCAGCAAGCCAACTCCTCACAACCCCAGTCAGCAAAAACGTAGCTTTACCAGAAAAGGTGACTTCCTTCTTTCAGTTTTACTCGTTCCTTGCCAGGGATTTAACTGGTGCTTTATCCTTCTAGACACTCCAATGATTCCCCCAACACACTTCGTTGTGCCAAGAACAATGGACAATACTTCTCTTTCTCTCCCCCTCCCCCAGAAAAAAAAGGGAAAGGCAAATCACACCCCAAGAAATCTGGTCAAGAAAACTGCATGGACTCAACAAAAGTCAACATTTACTTGTTTCCCAAACATATGTAGCTGAATACATCTGATTACTCCTGGATCATCTTGACCAATGCTTCTTCAAAAGGCTTTATATTTTGAAACTTGGTAGTTTTATTAAACATTCAGGCAAAAATTAATCACCTACAATTGAAATGTGGTGGGAAAGGGAATCCTATCCACAGGAGAAATGAGCAGTATAAGCCGGGAAGATATGGATCCAAGACATTGGGCAGTAATGATAAACTGTCCCGAGGCAAAATAAAAAAAGAAGTATCCTTTATTGAAAAAAAGTATTCATTTCCAAAGATTCCCATTTCAAGGTAAGCCATTAGAAGATTTTTTTCCTCCAAACATTTCTTTTTTGCAGTCATTAGCATTCTTGTTTCAACTAACAGGCTGATAAATGCTGCAAAATTCTGATTTTCATGCAGGGTTATTATGGATGGCATCTAAAGGGTTACACAGGCTCTCCACACAGAAGTTACTCTGTTTTTTAAATACAGCATTCATTTTCATACGAAAAGGATTAAAAGCTGAACAATAAAAAAAGGTTCTACAACTATTTTAGGTACTCACATAATAAAAAGGAGAAGTATTTACATGGAAATATCTACAAAAGGGTCTAAGTGCATCTGGTGCACCAAGACTGAGTATAACTGAAAGAGACCCTGGGCTACCAGCCTCGCAAAATCACATCCTTTCTCCCCCCCACCCTTTAATTTCTTACGATTCTTCTTGATCTTCAATCTTTGGGGCCAAATAATATTTCAAATGTCCCATATCTGCTATCTTGTATTCCACAACTGCAGGAGACAAAAGAGCCAAGGAAAAAGAGTTAATGGCCTGTCCGAAGCCACCAATCCAATCAAGGAAACAGACTTTGGCACCATTTCTCAGCGAGACCCGCAATGCCCCCACTTACCTAGGGGAACATCCGCAGACATACTGAGTATAACTGTAGGAGACAAAGGTGTGGCCTTGGTGAAGAAATTCAAGTATCTCAAAGCAAAAGTCAGCTGGACGGGCTCATTCATCTCTATGGATACCTGCAAAAAAACAGATGAAGGTTAAAGAACCGAGAGAAGAGGGGGAACAGTGGCAAAGGGGAAGTTTCAGCTTCCCTGCTGCCTACTTACAGCTTCCTCTTCTTTGTCAACATCGCTGGTTTGTGACAGCTTGACATTTCCACTCCCAAGTTCTCCCGTGGCAGAAAATTTGACCCCATCCTTCGTGCAGGAGATCACAACGGCGTCTCCAATGTGGCTGAGATCACGGCAGATACGTGCGAATTCAGCCGAGGGCATTTTCACCACGCAGCTGTACTCTTGTTCCTGAAAGACCATATGAAGGAATTGTAGGGCTGGCTGAGGCTCAAGGCAACACCTGGATTGCGTTTCCATTTCTCACTGGACAGAAACCAGCAGGGCCAGTAAAACAGATACAAATCAAATGGGCGCTAACGTATATCTAGTCCCCTAAGTTATGGCCATTGCAGGGACCCCAGGCACATAATCAAAATCTGGGTGCTTAGCAGTCTGCTCACATGACCACAGGTTCAACCCCTCCCTCCCAGTCCGTCCTTTTAGCCACCCTGTCGCTTGGCAAAGGGTCAAGGTTGGGCACGCCTCATCTGCAGTGGGATGAAGACAGGAGGTCAACTGGGGGGGGGGGGGGGGGGGGGGGTAGTGAGGGGGTGTTAAGAGAAGGCAACAGGACAGAAGCATGAGATCCTGGCTTGTCTTTACTCAGGACTACATAAACTGTTTTTCCCAAAATGGGACACGTTTCACCCAGTGACTGAAATTCTGATTTTAATTAGGGCCATTAAGCAAAGACTACCTATATCAAATTGGCAACATAGACAATCAGCAAGCAATTAGTAATGTTTTTTTGATTCTTGCAGCTGCTATAGACTCAGTCAAGAGACAGTAAACAAGCCAGTCTTTAACCATCCATCATAACGTTTACATTTAATGAATTCATTAATAACCTTTGAGATAAAAACTCACTTACTGGAATTCCAAGCTGTTCTACATCCAAATCCATTAATTTCATTTCATAGTCTGAAACCTTCTCCTGATCTATTCAAAAAAAACCATATAATTAACATTATTTACAAGAAAATCATTCTGACTCAATACTGTTTACTAGCCATAATCTGCAAAGCTACTTGAATACCTATTAAATAAAAGACAGCAACAAAAGCACAGAGTCTTTGATCGAGATCCGGCCACTTGGCAATGTTTGCACTTAGAACCAGTTGCCAAATGCTCTGCACTCCTGTGAAAGTCAGTGGGGAAGCTGGCAGGGAAGGTTGCTCACTCCCACCTGCCAGATTGCAGAGGGGAAAGGGCTTCTTGCCAAGGGGAGAGGAGAGGAATTCCTCCAACAGCCTGCATAATGGAAAGGTTGAACCTTTTGGGATTTAAGGTGTTTCGGCAGCTCACTGCACTCATTGAAAGTGTTGCAAATAAATCTAAATATAATCAACTTCTGGTTGGAATTACTTTTTAAAATGTTGTATATTCCAAATCGTTACACCAAAACGCACATTAGTCCAATTGTGCATGTTTGTTATTCGTATATTACATAATGGATGCTCTATTTCAGTTATAAGCTGTCATCAGTATGACATTAAACATAGTAAAAAAGTATTTTGACAGGTGTTAGCAGACTGGCAATCAATGCAACTTGTGGGCTATTCTGACACCAGAATTTATCCTACCCTCTTCTAGTTTTACAATGAACACCTACTTCTGAGAAAAAGCAGATTTAATGATTCAGTTAAACTTACTTGGTGTTTCAAATACCAAAACCAGTGTGTCAGCATTGTCTTCAGCCCTCAGGGTGATTATGTCATCATTACCAGCACACTTGAGCACTTTGGACATACTAGGAAAGAGAAAGAAATGCACATGTCATTGTTTTAATATACTGCATTATTTGGACAATACACAACATGAGACACATTGAACAAGTCACTGCAAGCCAAGAGGCTCAAGTAGGCTGTTGTCCCAAGGGATGGCAACAGCAACAGCAGTTTGTGTGGATCCTGTTTGTAATCCAGCTGGTATTATTTAAAATCAAACACAACAGCCTAGATTTTTCCCAATTTTATTTCCTGATCCAAAAATTGGTCTTGATCCAGTCCCTCTCTATGATTAACTGGTCACATAACATACTTTCTAGGGCAGAGGTCCCCAAAACTTGGTCACTTTAAGACTTGTGGACTTCAACTCTCAGAAGTCTGGAGAATTCTGGGAGTTGAAGTCCACAAGTCTTAAAGTGGCCAAGTTGGGGGACCTCTGTTCTAGGGGGACATTTAGAAAGCAGAGTCATTTCTGTTATTAGGTTACATTCTTGAGAATAAACCGGTTTTTCCCACGCTAGAAAAAAATATGATATAGAGGGGGGAGATTCATTTATTTATTTTTGAAGTTTTAGTGTAATTTTTGTTGTGGACGCAGACAGGATTCAACTGTTAGGGATCAACTGGGAAAGAAGGACCCTCCAGCAACTCTGCCAGTACAGGGACTGCAATAACTTGCGACAGGCTGCCCTTTTGTGGAGCACCAGGGCAGTCCTGAGCTAAAATTGGAAAAGGTCCAGTCCAGCTGCAAAGGCCAGGCAAACCCTGGCAAGGAGAGGGGGGTACCCCACGCCTTCTTGCGCTTGGGATTCCCCAGAGGGCTGCTTCCTCCACAGAGGAAGCTCGGCTGGGCAGGAGGAGCATTGGATCCGGAGGCCAAGAGAGACGCCGGCCCGGTCTGCCTCAATTCCCGCCTTCTTTCCTTTCCCCAAGTGGCAAAAGCCGCCATGCTGCCTCGCACAATCCCGCGCCTAAAAGACAAGCCACGCCCAGAAGGAGAGGACGACCAATCGGGCGGAAGCGCGCCGAAAGAGAGGAACCGCGGGCAGCCAATCCCCTTCCAGAACTAGAGCGCGCGAAGCCCGCTTTGACACTCCGACGCTTCCCGCCATGGCGCGAGGGGATTACGTCACAGCAACGCGACCGGCGCAGTAAATGGTTCCCGCCTTTCTTTGCGTATGAGGAGAATTCGCGCCTTAGTGGACTTCTCACTCCCCTCCGCCCCCCCCACCGGTCGCTCGGCCACTACCTGACGAGATTGACGCCCATGGCGATGTTGCGGTCGCAGCGGTAGGTGTCGAAGCCCTCGGAGCGCATGGTGAGCTGCACCAGGGAGACGTGCGACGAGTCCATGCTCTGCAGGCTGATGCCACCCGAGCCCAGGTCCCAGCAGGCCTCCGTTATGAGGTCCTTGAGAGCCTCCAGGACCTTCTTCAGCAGCGAGCCCTGAATCAACCGCGCCTCAAACATCTTGTCGGCGAGAGCGGGAAAAATTTCGCGCGAACCGCCTCGCCTGCGTCTCTTTATAAAGCCGGGCGACCGACGCCCCGCCCCACGAACATGTAGTGCGCCTGCGCGCCGAGACGTCGGCTTTTGCTCCGGCCCCCGAAGAGGCTGTCCGTAACTTAGAACCAATCAAAATGGGAGATCATTGTTGTCTCCTCCCCTCGCGGCTCTGCTGACCAATCAGAGTGCAGGGAAAGAACGGCTTTGCTGCCAGTTTCTGGAAGGGGTTTTGCCCGGACTTGTTGACCTGGGCTGCGGAGGCCGCTTCCTTCTCCAACCTGGCGCCCTCCGGATATGATGGGAAAGGACCCCTCCCCAAATATGATCAGAGGCCGCGAGGAGGGATGTCCAATCTGGGCAGGAGTGGACATTTCTTCCCCAGAACAGACCATTTTCACCTGTGCTGGATGGCCTTCAGCTGTGGATGATTGGAATTGGAATCCAATGATAGGAATTGGAATCCGACTTGGGAAAAAACTGCAAAATGCAGCTGGAAGAGACTTTTTTCTTTAAAAAAAAGGCAAATTTCCCCACTGATTTCCTCCCTGCAACCCTCCTGCAAGGAAACTCAATGGGGAAGCCAGCGGGAAGTCAAAAGTTGCTCCCCTTCTCACTGTTTTATGACCCCCCCCCAAAGTTCATTCTGTTTCTCTGTTCAGCTAAGGAAATACCTGAAATGATGACTCAATGGGGCCCCAGATTGTCCACTTAGAAATTAGAATGTTTATGTAATTAAAGGTCCCTTTGGCATATTCTCACAAAAGTATTAAATGAATTCCGAACATCTCAATAGAAGTTGCAATACAGCAGTATGTGGAAAATAAGCACGTGGGCAAATCGCTTAGAGGGCTGGAAAGCATTGTAAAGCGGTATATAAGTCAAAGGGCTATTGCTGCTCTTTTCTGTGCTCATTCTAGAGTCTCAGCATCTATTCATATTGTAGTGACTAGAAATAGATGCGGTATCACAAGTGTGGTCTCCCCAGTGCAGTGTACATCAAAACTGTCAGTTCACATCATTCTGTTCCCAAAAGAAACCCTTCCTTAACCTGTTGAGATGCAGGTCGAGACAAGTCCTCTGGAGGGAGAACCTTCCCAGCAATTGGAGAGATATTTTGCCCAGATGGAAATTCGCAAATTGGAGAAACGCCCTTTTTGCTGTCCCAAAGGTGCTTTTTTTCGAGAGTCAACTGGACTTTGTTTTTCCTTTGAAGACATTTCACTTCTCATCCAAGAAGTTTCTTCGGCTCTGACTGGATGGTGGGGAATAGAAGGATTGATAGTCCTTGCAGACAACTTGTCATTTGAATCCTTTTAGAGGGTATTTGAGGTCACTTGGAGGTTTCTCTGTGTCCTCAGGGTCACCTGAGTAGTGCAAATGGTTCCTGTAGTCTGCAATTCTTTTTCCTTCTCTACTATTGACCTCACCCCTTTC